GAGCTTACACTCTAAGAGGGAGGGCCTGATCCCGGGAGCTTACAATCTAAGAGGGAGGGGCTGATCCTGGGAGCTTACAATCTAAGAGGGAGGGGCTGATCCTGGGAGTTTACAATCTAAGAGGGAGGGCTTGATCCTGGGAGCTTACAATCTAAGAGGGAGGGGCTGATCCTGGGAGCTTACAATCTAAGAGGGAGGGGCTGATCCTGGGAGTTTACAATCTAAGAGGGAGGGCTTGATCCTGGGAGCTTACAATCTAAGAGGGAGGGGCTGATCCTGGGAGCTTACAATCTAAGAGGGAGGGGCTGATCCTGGGAGCTTACAATCTAAGAGGGAGGGCCTGATCCCGGGAGCTTACAATCTAAGAGGGAGGGCCTGATCCCGGGAGCTTACAATCTAAGAGGGAGGGGCCTGATCCCGGGAGCTTACAATCTAAGAGGGAGGGGCTGATCCCGGGAGCTTACAATCTAAGAGGGAGGGGCTGATCCTGGGAGCTTACAATCTAAGAGGGAGGGGCTGATCCTGGGAGCTTACAATCTAAGAGGGAGGGGCTGATCCTGGGAGCTTACAATCTAAGAGGGAGGAGCTGATCCTGGGAGTTTACAATCTAAGAGGGAGGGGCTGATCCTGGGAGTTTACAACCTAAGAGGGAGGGGCTGATCCTGGGAGCTTACAACCTAAGAGGGAGGGGCTGATCCTGGGAGCTTACAACCTAAGAGGGAGGAGCTGATCCTGGGAGCTTACAATCTAAGAGGGAGGGGCTGATCCTGGGAGTTTACAATCTAAGAGGGAGGGGCTGATCCTGGGAGTTTACAATCTAAGAGGGAGGGGCTGATCCTGGGAGCTTACAATCTAAGAGGGAGGGGCTGATCCTGGGAGCTTACAATCTAAGAGGGAGGGGTTGATCCTGGGAGTTTACAATCTAAGAGGGAGGGGCTGATCCCGGGAGCTTACAACCTAAGAGGGAGGGGCTGATCCCGGGAGCTTACAATCTAAGAGGGAGGGGTTGATCCTGGGAGTTTACAATCTAAGAGGGAGGGGCTGATCCTAGGAGCTTACAATCTAAGAGGGAGGGGCTGATCCTGGGAGCTTACAATCTAAGAGGGAGGGGCTGATCCCGGGAGCTTACAATCTAAGAGGGAGGGGCTGAACCCGGGAGCTTACAATCTAAGAGGGAGGGGCTGAACCCTGGAGTTTACAATCTAAGAGGGAGGGGCTAGTGGTACAAAAGTTAGTAACTGTGGGGGATGGACTGGTAGGAGGAATAGAAGATTCCAGTATTAGCTGAGGGCAGGATAGGCTTCCCTGAAGAGATCGGTTTTCAGAGATCGACTAAAAGTGAGCAGAGTAGGCGATAGTCGGACAGATTGGGGTAGAGAGTTCCAGAGGATGGGGGAGGCTCTGGAGAAGTCCTGGAGATGATCATGGGAGGAGGAGACAAGGGAGCTTGAGAGCAGGAGGTCGTGAGAGGAGAGGACGGTTTGGGTGATATTTGGAGACAAGTTCGGTGATGTAATTTTGGGCGGAGTTATAAATGGCTTTATAAGTTATTGTTTTGAATTTTATCCATTGGGCAATGGGAAGCCAGTGGAGGGATTGGCAGAGGGGGGTGGAGGGCACTAAATGGAGGGATTGGCAGAGAGGGGTGGAGGAGACCTAATGGAGGCCAGTGGAGGGATTGGCAGAGGGGGGTGGAGGGCACTAAATGGAGGGATTGGCAGAGAGGGGTGGAGGAGACCTAATGGAGGCCAGTGGAGGGATTGGCAGATACACAACGGTTAGTAAGGTGGATGAGTCTGGCAGCAGCGATCGTGAAAGACTGAAGAGGGGATAGCCTGCGATGAGGTCGGCCAATGATGAGGGAGTTACAATAGTCAAGGTGAGAGATAACTAGTTAGGGAATAAGTTGCTTTGTGGTTTCGGTGGTTAAGAACGGGCGTATCTTGGCGATGTTGCAGAGATGTGGCGGAGGTTGGAGGAGTTTGGGAGGTTGGAGGAGTTTGGGAGGTTGGAGGTGTTGCGGAGGTTGGAGGAGTTTGGGAGGTTGGAGATGTTGCGGAGGTTGGAGGTGTCGGGGAGGTTGGAGATGTTGCGGAGGTTGGAGATGTTGCGGAGGTGAAGTCTACAAGATTTGGACAGTGATTGGATTTGGGGCTGGAAGGACAGATGGGAGTCTAGGATTACACCTCGTACCCTGACATGAGGGGAGGGACTGATGGTTGTGTTATTGATCTTGATGGAGAAGTCGGGTTGGGGGGAGGGGCTGGGGGGAATACTAAGAGCTCAGTTTTGGAAAGATTGAGTTTGAGGAAGTGGAATGACATCCATGCCGATATGTCACTTAGTAGGTTAGTAATGCAAAAGGAGACTGAAGAGGTGTGGAGGAGACTGAAGAGGTGTGGAGGAGACTAAAGGGGCGAGGTGTGGAGGAGACTGAAGGGGCGAGGTGTGGAGGAGACTGAAGGGGCGAGGTGTGGAGGAGACTGAAGGGGCGAGGTGTGGAGGAGACTGAAGGGGCGAGGTGTGGAGGAGACTGAAGGGGCGAGGTGTGGAGGAGACTGAAGGGGCGAGGTGTGGAGGAGACTGAAGGGGCGAGGTGTGGAGGAGACTGAAGGGGCGAGGTGTGGAGGAGACTGAAGGGGCGAGGTGTGGAGGAGACTGAAGGGGCGAGGTGTGGAGGAGACTGAAGGGGCGAGGTGTGGAGGAGACTGAAGGGGCGAGGTGTGGAGGAGACTGAAGGGGCGAGGTGTGGAGGAGGACTGAAGGGGCGAGGTGTGGAGGAGACTGAAGGGGCGAGGTGTGGAGGAGACTGAAGGGGCGAGGTGTGGAGGAGACTGAAGGGGCGAGGTGTGGAGGAGACTGAAGGGGCGAGGTGTGGAGGAGACTGAAGGGGCGAGGTGCGGAGGAGACTGAAGGGGCGAGGTGCGGAGGAGACTGAAGGGGCGAGGTGCGGAGGAGACGGAAGTGGCGAGGTGCGGAGGAGACGGAAGTGGCGAGGGTGCGGAGGAGACGGAAGTGGCGAGGTGCGGAGGAGACGGAAGTGGCGAGGTGCGGAGGAGACGGAAGGGGCGAGGTGCGGAGGAGACGGAAGGGGGGAGGACGGCGAGGTGCGGAGGAGACGGAAGGGGCGAGGTGCGGAGGAGACTGAAGGGGAGGGGTGAGGTGAGGAGGAGAAAGATAGATTTGTGTGTTATCAGCATAGAGATGGTACTGGAACCCATGGGAGTTTATCAAGTGACCAAGGGGAGGAGGTGTAGATGGAGAAGAGAAGGGGTCCAAGGACAGAACCTTGAGGGACCCCTACAGAAAGAGGGAGTGGAGAGGAGGAGGCAGATTTATAGGTAATGCTGAAGGAGCGCTGCGATAGGTAGGAGGAGAACCAAAATAGAGCTGAATCACTTTGACCAAGGCAGTGGAGTTTATTTTGAAGGAGCGGGTGGTCAACCTTATCAAAGGCTGCAAAGAGGTCTAGTAGGAAGAGCAGGGAATAGAGGCCGTTGGGTTAGGAAGAGCGTGGAGTAGGAACCGTTGGGTCGGGTAGAGCGTGGAGTAGGGGCCGTTGGGGTTAGGAAAAGCGTGGAGTAGAGGCTGTTGGGTTGGGTAGGGGCGTGGAGTAGGGGCCGTTGCGTTGGGTAGGGCGTGGAGTAGGGGCCGTTGCGTTGGGTAGGGCGTGGAGTAGGGGCCGTTGGGTCGGGAAGAGCGTGGAGTAGGGGCCGTTGGTTCGGGAAGAGCGTGGAGTAGCGACCGTTGGGTCAGGGAAGAGCGTGGAGTAGGGACCGTCTGGTCGGGAAGAACGTGGAGTAGGGGCCGTCGGGTCGGGAAGAGCGTGGAGTAGGGGGCCGTCGGGTCGGGAAGAGCGTGGAGTAGGGACCGTCGGGTCGGGAAGAGCGTGGAGTAGGGACCGTCGGGTCGGGAAGAGCGTGGAGTAGGGACCGTCGGGTCGGGAAGAGCGTGGAGTAGGGGCCGTCGGGTCGGGAAGAGCGTGGAGTAGGGGGCCGTCGGGTGGGGGAAGGGGGTAGAGCGTGGAGTAGGGGCCGTCGGGGTGGGGTAGAGCGTGGAGTAGGGGCCGTCGGGTATGGGGGGTAGAGCGTGGAGTAGGGGGCCGTCGGGTGGGGTAGAGCGTGGAGTAGGGGCCGTCGGGTGGGGTAGAGCGTGGAGTAGGGGCCGTCGGGGTGGGGTAGAGCCAGACTGTAAGGGACCAAGAAGGTTGTCGGTGAGGGAGGAGCTCAGGTGATTGTAGACTAAGCGTTCTAGGAGTTTAGAGTAAATGGCAGCAGGGAGATGGGTCTAACATTGTTCAGGTTGGTGGGGTCCAGGGAGGGCTTTTTAAGTATGAGGGAGCACGCTCTAGGGGGGAGGGTAAGGTGCCAGTAAAGAGAGATTGAAGATGTGAGTGGGGGAGCATAGGATAGAAGAGGATGACCGGAGTAGTTGTGAGGGAACAGGGTCTAGTGGACAGCTGGTAGGACGGGTTTCTGAGAAAGGTTTGGTGACCTCTTCGGTAGTAGAAGGTCAGAAGAGGAAAGTGTTGAGGGAGGTTTAGTATAAGGTATACTAAGTGGGATGGATGTCTGTGCAGAGGAGATGCCCCAAGAATTGCATCAATCATGTTTTTGAAATGATTTGCAATCTCGCGAGCAGTGAGTGAGGTACTGGGTGGAGGTGGAGGTGCTGGGTTGAGGTGGAGGTGGAGTGAGGTACTGGGTGGAGGTGCTGGGTTGAGGTGGAGGTGAGTGAGGTGCTGGGTGGAGGTGGAGGTGAGTGGGGTGCTGGGTGGAGGTGAGGGAGGTACTGGGTGGAGGTGGAGGTGCTGGGTTGAGGTGGAGGTGAGTGAGGTGAGCTGGGTGGAGGTGGAGGTGCTGGGTTGAGGTGGAGGTGTGAGTGAGGTACTGGGTGGAGGTGGAGGTGAGTGAGGTGCTGGGTTGAGGTGGAGGGTGAGTGAGGTGCTGGGTTGAGGTGGAGGTGAGTGAGGTACTGGGTGGAGGTGGAGGTGAGTGAGGTACTGGGTGGAGGTGGAGGTGAGTGAGGTGCTGGGTTGAGGTGGAGGTGAGTGAGGGGGGGGGGGTGGAGGTGGAGGTGAGTGAGGTACTGGGTGGAGGGTGGAGGTGAGTGAGGTGCTGGGGGGAGGTGGAGGTGAGTGAGGTGCTGGGTGGAGGAGGAGGTGCTGAGTTGAGGTGGAGGTGGAGGTGCTGAGTTGAGGTGGAGGTGAGTGAGGTGCTGGGTTGAGGTGGAGGTGCTGGGTGGAGGTGGAGGTGCTGGGTTGAGGTGGAGGTGGAGGAGGTGCTGGGTTGAGGTGGAGGTGGAGGTGCTGGGTTGAGGTGGAGGTGGAGGTGCTGAATTGAGGTGGAGGTGAGTGAGGTGCTGGGTGGAGGTGAAGTTGCTGAAAGTAGAGAGTTAGAAGTAGAGAAGAGACGACGAGGACTGGATGACAAGGTACTGATGAGAGTGACAAAGGCGTCTTGTCTGGCAGCATGGAGGGAGGAATTGTATGTTCAGAAAGCAGATTTATATCGGGTGAATGCTTGCTGGGATTTGGTTTTTACGCCACAATCGCTCCAGCGCACGACTCTGTCTCCTAAGATTTCTGGTGTCATCAGGTTGTAGTGGTCGGGGCCGGATACTTCGTGTTGTTAGAGGAGCAAGTGAGTCTATTGTGGATGACAGTGAACTGTTGTAGACAGCAGTGGTCAGGGCAGGACAGGGGAGAGATTCTGTCACAGAGGAGGTCAGTTGCAGAGTGGAAAGGAGCCGGGTTCAAGTTGTGAAGGTTTCTACAAGTAATCGTTTGCTGCTTGGAGGGGTAGGCGGTTGGAGACGAGGTGATGAGGTTGAGATCACAGAGAGGCGAGGGGGGGGTGTTGGTGAGGTTCCAGGAGTGCAAAGATAACATTAATGGGGATGTTAGTAAGGATGATGGTGGGTATCTCAGAGGAGAAGAGAAAGTAGGGTAGCCAGGCAGAGAAGACACCAAGAAAGCGGGACACGGGTCCAGGAGGCCGATAGATCACTGCAATCCTCAGAGAGATCGGAGTAAAAACGGATAACGTGAGCCTCAAAAGAAGAGGATAGAGGGGGGGGGGGGTGGGGTGTGGGAGGACTTGAAAGGTGCTCAGTGGGGATAGAAACCAACCAACCCCACCACCTTTCTGACCACTGGGTCTGGGTGAGGGGGTCTGGGTGAGGGGGTCTGGGTGAGGGGGTCTGGGTGAGGGGGTCTGGGTGAGGGGGTCTGGGTGAGGGGGTCTGGGTGAGGGGGTCTGGGTGAGGGGGTCTGGGTGAGGGGGTCCGGTGTGAGGGGGTCCGGGTGAGGGGGTCCGGGTGAGGGGGTCTGGGTGAGGGGGTCCGGGTGAGGCCTCCATAGGGAAGTGCTGTGGGGGAAGCAGAATCTGCTGCTGGGAGTCAGGTTTCTGTAATTGCTAGTAGGGTGCGGGAGTGGGAGACAAAAAGGTCATGGATGGAGGGGAGTCACGGAAAATCTTCGATATGTCATCGCAGTGAGAGATCATCGGACAGAGAATGTAATCTTACCTCCCCCCCCCCCCAACACCACCACCAATCCATTCACAAGATCCTGGCCCAATGTTGTGTATAGAATGGGGGAGGTGCTGTACTCAGTCCGTTCTTGTCTCTGTTTTCCCTCTGTACCATCTCCGCTCATCGCTCCGTGTATGCAGTGATTGTACACATTTATTACCCGTGTCATTAGTGCCATCATCCAATCACAGGAGCCCTTGCAGTCTGTACTGGTGTATCCAATCACATGATCCTGCCATGCCACCATCATCCAATCACAGGAGACCCTGCAGTATGTACTGGTGTATCCAATCACATGGTCCTGCCATGCCACCATCATCCAATCACAGGAGACCCTGCAGTATGTACTGGTGTATCCAATCACATGGTCCTGCCATGCCACCATCATCCAATCACAGGAGACCCTGCAGTATGTACTGGTGTATCCAATCACATGGTCCTGCCATGCCACCATCATCCAATCACAGGAGACCCTACAGTCTGTTTTGTATAACATGATTCCCCACCCCAGCTGCCTTCATCCAGTCACAGGAGTCCATGGAGTTTGTATTGTATCACATGATCCCTGCCACATCACCGTCATCCAATCACACAAGTCCTTGCCATGTTTATAATTCTAGTTCTTTCTCTCTCATGCTGCGGATTGGAGGGGAGGAATGGCGGCCCACCAGGAGGTGACGATGTACGATGATGAAGTGAGGTAATGTCCCACCTACAAGAAGGTCCCCTCCCCTCCTTCCTGCATATAGCCCCTCCCCCAGGAAGGAAATCATATTTTTCTAACAGCTTTCAGATGTTAAAGAAGAAACTCCGCTAAGCTCTGTGTACATCAGACCAGAGTCACCATGAATGTGTACCAACCGTGTGTGTGGGGGTCACCCCTAGAAGATCATTGGGAGCAGAGTTCTTCCTTAACCTGAAGGCTGCAATTCAGCTGCTGTGAGTAGCCGAGATCCAATAATTGAGGGTGATGGAGTACTTCTGTCCTATGTACATCTGCCCCCCCCCCCCGTACACACTCCACCACCCCCTATGTACATCTGCCCCCCCCCCCGTACACTCCACCACCCCCTATGTACATCTGCCCCCCCCCCCCCCGTACACTCCACCCCCTGTGTACACCTTCCCCCCCCCCCCCCCCCCGTACACTCCACCACCCCCTGTGTACATCTGCCCCCCCCCCCCCCCCCCCCCCCGTACACTCCACCACCCCCTATGTACATCTGCCCCCCCCGTACACTCCACCCCCTGTGTACACCTTCCCCCCCCCCCGTACACTCCACCACCCCCTATGTACATCTGCCCCCCGTACACTCCACCACCCCCTGTGTCCCTGTGTACATCTGCCCCCCCCCCCCGTACACTCCACCCCCTGTGTACACCTTCCCCCCCCCCCCGTACACTCCACCACCCCCTATGTACATCTGCCCCCCGTACACTCCACCACCCCCTGTGTCCCTGTGTACATCTGCCCCCCCCCCCCCCCCCCCCGTACACCCCACCACCCCCTGTGTACCCCACACCGGTCCCCCTGTGTACATCTGCCCCATACTTCCCCCATCTACCCCCTGTGTACATCTGCCCCTCTAAATTCCCCCATCTACCCCCCTGTGTACATCTGCCCCCTACATTCCCCCCATCTACCCCCCTGTGTACATCTGCCCCATACATTCTCCCGTCTACCCCCTGTGTACATCTGCCCCCCCTACATTCCCCCATCTGCCCCCAAAAAGCAGGTGTCCCCATCAGTGTATCCAATTAGTGAGTAGGTGCCCCCATCAGAGCGCAGGTGACCCCATTATTGTGCCCCCATCAGAGCGCAGGTGACCCCATTATTGTGCCCCCATCATTGTGCCCCCATCAGAGCACAGGTGACCCCATCATTGTGCCCCCATCAGAGCGCAGGTGTCATTATAAACTATTGCCTGTCCATGCGTGATCCGGGACAGACGTTATGAACCGTTCCCAGTCCATGTATGATCCAGGCCATAAACCTCATCGCTGGGATCTTAACCGATTTCGTTTATCTGACTGGAATGACGGGTACTTTTCTCCTCTGCTGTGTATTGTATCTGTGGATCCTCTGCTGTGTATTGTATCCGTGGATCCTCTGCTGTGTATTGTATCTGTGGATCCTCTGCTGTGTATTGTATCTGTGGATCCTCTGCTGTGTATTGTATCTGTGGATCCTCTGCTGTGTATTGTATCTGTGGATCCTCTGCTGTGTATTGTATCTGTGGATCCTCTGCTGTGTATTGTATCCGTGGATCCTCTGCTGTGTATCGTATCTGTGGATCCTCTGCTGTGTATTGGATCTGTGGATCCTCCGCTGTGTATTGGATCTGTGGATCCTCCGCTGTGTATTGGATCTGTGGATCCTCTGCTGTGTATCGTATCCGTGGATCCTCTGCTGTGTATCGTATCTGTGGATCCTCTGCTGTGTATCGTATCCGTGGATCCTCTGCTGTGTATTGTATCCGTGGATCCTCTGCTGTGTATCGTATCTGTGGATCCTCTGCTGTGTATCGTATCTGTGGATCCTCTGCTGTGTATTGTATCCGTGGATCCTCTGCTGTGTATTGTATCTGCGGATCCTCTGCTGTGTATCGTATCCGTGGATCCTCTGCTGTGTATTGTATCCGTGGATCCTCTGCTGTGTATTGTATCTGTGGATCCTCTGCTGTGTATTGTATCTGTGGATCCTCTGCTGTGTATTGTATCTGTGGATCCTCTGCTGTGTATTGTATCCGTGGATCCTCTGCTGTGTATTGTATCTGTGGATCCTCTGCTGTGTATTGTATCCGTGGATCCTCTGCTGTGTATTGTATCTGTGGATCCTCTGCTGTGTATTGTATCCGTGGATCCTCTGCTGTGTATTGTATCCGTGGATCCTCTGCTGTGTATTGTATCCGTGGATCCTCTGCTGTGTATTGTATCCGTGGATCCTCTGCTGTGTATTGTATCTGTGGATCCTCTGCTGTGTATTGTATCTGTGGATCCTCTGCTGTGTATCGTATCTGTGGATCCTCTGCTGTGTATCGTATCTGTGGATCCTCTGCTGTGTATCGTATCTGTGGATCCTCTGCTGTGTATCGTATCCGTGGATCCTCTGCTGTGTATTGTATCTGTGGATCCTCTGCTGTGTATTGTATCTGTGGATCCTCTGCTGTGTATTGTATCTGTGGATCCTCTGCTGTGTATTGTATCTGTGGATCCTCTGCTGTGTATTGTATCTGTGGATCCTCTGCTGTGTATATTGTATCTGTGGATCCTCTGCTGTGTATTGTATCTGTGGATCCTCTGCTGTGTATTGTATCTGTGGATCCTCTGCTGTGTATTGTATCTGTGGATCCTCTGCTGTGTATTGTATCCGTGGATCCTCTGCTGTGTATCGTATCCGTGGATCCTCTGCTGTGTATCGTATCTGTGGATCCTCTGCTGTGTATCGTATCCGTGGATCCTCTGCTGTGTATTGTATCCGTGGATCCTCTGCTGTGTATCGTATCTGTGGATCCTCTGCTGTGTATCGTATCTGTGGATCCTCTGCTGTGTATTGTATCCGTGGATCCTCTGCTGTGTATTGTATCTGCGGATCCTCTGCTGTGTATTGTATCTGTGGATCCTCTTCTGTGTATTGTATCTGTGGATCCTCTGCTGTGTATTGTATCTGTGGATCCTCTGCTGTGTATTGTATCTGTGGATCCTCTGCTGTGTATTGTATCTGTGGATCCTCTGCTGTGTATTGTATCTGTGGATCCTCTGCTGTGTATTGTATCTGTGGATCCTCTGCTGTGTATTGTATCTGTGGATCCTCTGCTGTGTATTGTATCTGTGGATCCTCTGCTGTGTATTGTATCTGTGGATCCTCTGCTGTGTATTGTATCTGTGGATCCTCTGCTGTGTATTGTATCTGTGGATCCTCTGCTGTGTATTGTATCCGTGGATCCTCTGCTGTGTATCGTATCTGTGGATCCTCTGCTGTGTATCGTATCCGTGGATCCTCTGCTGTGTATTGTATCTGTGGATCCTCTGCTGTGTATTGTATCCGTGGATCCTCTGCTGTGTATCGTATCCGTGGATCCTCTGCTGTGTATTGTATCCGTGGATCCTCTGCTGTGTATTGTATCTGTGGATCCTCTGCTGTGTATTGTATCCGTGGATCCTCTGCTGTGTATTGTATCTGTGGATCCTCTGCTGTGTATTGTATCTGTGGATCCTCTGCTGTGTATTGTATCCGTGGATCCTCTGCTGTGTATCGTATCCGTGGATCCTCTGCTGTGTATCGTATCCGTGGATCCTCTGCTGTGTATCGTATCCGTGGATCCTCTGCTGTGTATTGTATCCGTGGATCCTCTGCTGTGTATTGTATCTGTGGATCCTCTGCTGTGTATTGTATCTGCGGATCCTCTTCTGTGTATTGTATCTGCGGATCCTCTTCTGTGTATTGTATCTGTGGATCCTCTGCTGTGTATTGTATCTGTGGATCCTCTGCTGTGTATTGTATCTGTGGATCCTCTGCTGTGTATTGTATCTGTGGATCCTCTGCTGTGTATTGTATCTGTGGATCCTCTGCTGTGTATTGTATCTGTGGATCCTCTGCTGTGTATTGTATCTGTGGATCCTCTGCTGTGTATCGTATCCGTGGATCCTCTGCTGTGTAATGTATCCGTGGATCCTCTGCTGTGTATTGTATCCGTGGATCCTCTGCTGTGTATTGTATCCGTGGATCCTCTGCTGTGTAATGTATCTGTGGATCCTCTGCTGTGTAATGTATCTGTGGATCCTCTGCTGTGTAATGTATCTGTGGATCCTCTGCTGTGTAATGTATCTGTGGATCCTCTGCTGTGTAATGTATCTGTGGATCCTCTGCTGTGTATCGTATCTGTGGATCCTCTGCTGTGTATCGTATCTGTGGATCCTCTGCTGTGTATCGTATCTGTGGATCCTCTGCTGTGTATCGTATCTGTGGATCCTCTGCTGTGTATCGTATCTGTGGATCCTCTGCTGTGTATCGTATCTGTGGATCCTCTGCTGTGTATCGTATCCGTGGATCCTCCGCTGTGTATCGTATCCGTGGATCCTCCGCTGTGTATTGTATCCGTGGATCCTCTGCTGTGTATTGTATCTGTGGATCCTCTGCTGTGTATTGTATCTGTGGATCCTCTGCTGTGTATCGTATCTGTGGATCCTCTGCTGTGTATCGTATCTGTGGATCCTCTGCTGTGTATCGTATCTGTGGATCCTCTGCTGTGTATCGTATCTGTGGATCCTCTGCTGTGTATTGTATCCGTGGATCCTCTGCTGTGTATTGTATCCGTGGATCCTCCGCTTCTCTCCTCCCTAATTCTGAGTAAGATGTAGAATTCTATCCCCCTCATATCAGTCCTATGTATTGTCCTCACCTGCGGTCCGTGTCTCTCCATCTGCGCACCTAATCCCTGTGTGTGGTGTGAACCTCCTCTAATCCCGGAGATCATTATCATGTCACTGAGTCCGGTGATCTGTCTGAGTACCCCCCCCCCCCCCCCCCCCCGGACACCATGTGACCCTCTTCATCTCCCTACAGATCGCGCTACGGCCGGCTGGAGAAGATGACCGACCTGGTGGCCGTGTGGGAAGTCGCTCTCAGTGACGGTGTCCATAAGATTGAGTTTGAACATGGCACGACGTCGGGGAAGAGAGTGGTCTATGTGGACGGGAAGGTGAGGCCTTCTGTATATACTGCATGGACATCTAGGCACCCAACTCCCACAGATCACAGAGAAACACAACATACACTGCTGGGTCCAGGAAATGTCTGTCTGGCATCTCTCAGCCTCCATTTCATTTGTGAAGATTCAAAAATAAGAGGCCAGACTTTGCTCACTTCTCCTTACTGAAGTGTGATTGGAGGCTGAGAGCCAGCCATGAAATATCTCACAAGATCCTCGGATCACTCTTCACGCCGGTGCGGTGGGTAGTGTGCTAAGATCATCCTTCACGGCGGTGCGGTGGGTAGTGTGCTAAGATCATCCTTCACGCCGGTGCGGTGGGTAGTGTGCTAAGATCATCCTTCACAGCGGTGCGGTGGGTAGTGTCCTCGGAACGCCCTTCACGCTGTTGCGGTGGGTAGTGTGCTAAGATCATCCTTCACGGCGGTGCGGTGGGTAGTGTCCTAAGATCATCCTTCACACCGGTGCGGTGGGTAGTTTCCTAAGATCATCCTTCACGCCGGTGCGGTGGGTAGTGTCCTAAGATCATCCTTCACGCCGGTGCGGTGGGTAGTGTCCTCGGAACGCCCTTCACGCTGTTGCGGTGGGTAGTGTGCTAAGATCATCCTTCACGCCGGTGCGGTGGGTAGTGTCCTAAGATCATCCTTCACGCCGGTGCGGTGGGTAGTTTCCTAAGATCATCCTTCACGCCGGTGCGGTGGGTAGTTTCCTAAGATCATCCTTCACGCCGGTGCGGTGGGTAGTGTCCTAAGATCATCCTTCACGCCGGTGCGGTGGGTAGTGTCCTAAGATCATCCTTCACGCCGGTGCGGTGGGAAGTGTCCTCAGCTCGCCCTTCACGCCGGTGCGGTGGGTAGTGTCCTCCGCTCGCCCTTCATGCCGGTGCGGTGGGTAGTGTCCTCCGCTCGCCCTTCATGCCGGTGCGGTGGGTAGTGTCCTCCGCTCGCCCTTCATGCCGGTGCGGTGGGTAGTGTCCTCCGCTCGCCCTTCATGCCGGTGCGGTGGGTAGTGTCCTCCGCTCGCCCTTCATGCCGGTGCGGTGGGTAGTGTCCTCCGCTCGCCCTTCATGCCGGTGCGGTGGGTAGTGTCCTCAGCTCGCCCTTCATGCCGGTGCGGTGGGTAGTGTCCTCAGCTCGCCCTTCATGCCGGTGCGGTGGGTAGTGTCCTCAGCTCGCCCTTCATGCCGGTGCGGTGGGTAGTGTCCTCCTATCATCCTTCATGCCGGTGCGGTGGGTAGTGTCCTCAGATCATCCTTCATGCTGGTGCGGTGGGTAGTGTCCTCAGATCGCCCTTCACGCTGGTGCGGTGGGTAGTGTCCTCCGATCGCCTTTCACGCTGGTGCGGTGGGTAGTGTCCTCAGATCACCCTTCACGCTGGTGCGGTGGGTAGTGTCCTCAGATCACCCTTCAGGCCGGTGCAGTGGGTAGGATCCTCAGATCCGTGTTCGGGAGATGACGTGCGGTGGGTAGTGTCCTCAGATCCGTGTTGGGGAGATGACGTGCGGTGGGTAGTGTCCTCAGGAGACGACGTGCAGTGGGTAGTGTCCTCAGATCCGTGTTCGGGAGATGACGTGCGGTGGGTAGTGTCCTCAGGAGATGACGTGCGGTGGGTAGGGTCCTCATATCCGTGTTGGGGAGATGACGTGCGGTGGGTAGGGTCCTCAGATCCGTGTTGGGGAGATGACATGCGGTGGGTAGGGTCCTCAGATCCGTGTTGGGGAGATGACATGCGGTAGGTAGTGTCCTCAGGAGATGACGTGCGGTGGGTAGGGTCCTCAGATTCATGTTGGGGAGATGACATGCGGTGGGTAGCGTCTTCAGCAGATGATGCGCGGTGGGTAGTGTCCTCAGGAGATGACGCGCGGTGGGTAGTGTCCTCAGGAGATGACGTGCGGTGGGTAGTTTCCTCAGATCCGTGTTCGGGAGATGACATGCGGTGGGTAGTGTCCTCAGGAGATGACGTGCGGTGGGTAGTGTCCTCAGGAGATGACGTGCGGTGGGTAGTGTCCTCAGGAGATGACGTGCGGTGGGTAGTGTCCTCAGGAGATGACGTGCGGTGGGTAGTGTCCTCAGGAGATGACTTGCGGTGGGTAGGGTCCTCAGATCCATGTTGGGGAGATGACGTGCGGTGGGTAGGGTCCTGAGGAGATGACGTGCGGTGGGTAGTGTCCTCAGGAGATGACATGCGGTGGGTAGTGTCCTCAGGAGATGACGCGCGGTGGGTAGTGTCCTCAGGAGATGACGTGCGGTGGGTAGTGTCCTCAGGAGATGACGTGCGCTGGGTAGTGTCCTCAGAAGATGACGTGCGCTGGGTAGTGTCCTCAGATGACGTGCGGTGGGTAGCGTCCTCAGATCCGTGTTCAGGAGATGACGTGCGGTGGGTAGTGTCTTCAGGAGATGACGTGCGGTGGGTAGTGTCCTCAGATCCGTGTTCGGGAGATGACGTGCGGTGGGTAGTGTCTTCAGGAGATGACGTGCGGTGGGTAGTGTCCTCCGATCCATGTTGGGGAGATGACGTGCGGTGGGTAGTGTCCTCAGGAGATGACGTGCGGTGGGTAGTGTCCTCAGGAGATGACGTGCGGTGGGTAGTGTCCTCAGGAGATGACGTGCGCTGGGTAGTGTCCTCAGATGACGTGCGGTGGGTAGTGTCCTCAGATCCGTGTTCGGGAGATGACGTGCGGTGGGTAGTGTCCTCAGGAGATGACGTGCGGTGGGTAGTGTCCTCAGGAGATGACGTGCGGTGGGTAGTGTCCTCAGGAGATGACGTGCGGTGGGTAGTGTCCTCAGGAGATGACGTGCGGTGGGTAGCGTCCTCAGGAGATGACGTGCGGTGGGTAGCGTCCTCAGGAGATGACGTGCGGTGGGTAGCGTCCTCAGGAGATGACGTGCGGTGGGTAGCGTCCTCAGGAGATGACGTGCGGTGGGTAGTGTCCTCAGGAGATGGCGTGCGGTGGGTAGCGTCCTCAGATCCGTGTTCGGGAGATGACGTGCGGTGGGTAGCGTCCTCAGATCCGTGTTCGGGAGATGACGTGCGGTGGGTAGTGTCCTCAGGAGGTGACGTGCGGTGGGTAGTGTCCTCAGGAGATGATGTGCGGTGGGTAGTGTCCTCAGGAGGTGACGTGCGGTGGGTAGTGTCCTCAGGAGGTGACGTGCGGTGGGTAGCGTCCTCAGGAGGTGACGTGCGGTGGGTAGCGTCCCTCAGGAGATGACGTGCGGTGGGTAGCGTCCTCAGGAGATGACGTGCGGTGGGTAGCGTCCTCAGGAGATGACGTGCGGTGGGTAGCGTCCTCAGGAGATGACGTGCGGTGGGTAGCGTCCTCAGGAGATGGCGTGCGGTGGGTAGCGTCCTCAGATCCGTGTTCGGGAGATGACGTGCGGTGGGTAGCGTCCTCAGATCCGTGTTCGGGAGATGACGTGCGGTGGGTAGTGTCCTCAGGAGGTGACGTGCGGTGGGTAGTGTCCTCAGGAGGTGACGTGCGGTGGGTAGTGTCCTCAGGAGGTGACGTGCGGTGGGTAGTGTCCTCAGGAGGTGACGTGCGGTGGGTAGTGTCCTCAGGAGGTGACGTGCGGTGGGTAGTGTCCTCAGGAGATGACGTGCGGTGGGTAGTGTCCTCAGGAGGTGACGTGCGGTGGGTAGTGTCCTCAGGAGGTGACGTGCGGTGGGTAGTGTCCTCAGGAGGTGACGTGCGGTGGGTAGTGTCCTCAGGAGATGACGTGCGGTGGGTAGTGTCCTCAGGAGATGACGTGCGGTGGGTAGTGTCCTCAGGAGATGACGTGCGGTGGGTAGTGTCCTCAGGAGATGACGTGCGGTGGGTAGTGTCCTCAGGAGATGACGTGCGGTGGGTAGTGTCCTCAGGAGGTGACGTGCGGTGGGTAGTGTCCTCAGGAGGTGACGTGCGGTGGGTAGTGTCCTCAGGAGGTGACGTGCGGTGGGTAGTGTCCTCAGGAGATGACGTGCGGTCTTTGTTCTCTCTCTGGGTGTCAGGAGATTATCCGGAAGGATTGGATGTTCAAACTGGTGGGGAAGGAGACGTTTCCAGTTGGAGCGTCTCAGACGAAGGCCACCATCAACATCGACGCCGTCAGCGGCTTCGCCTACGAATACACGCTGGAGGTGAACGGCAAGAGCCTGAAGAAGTACATGGAGAACCGGTCCAAGACCACCAACACCTGGGTGCTCCACCTAGATGGAGAGGACTACAGGGTGGTGCTGGGTGAGTGCTTTGGTTCTGTCATCTGCATCCCAGGGGCGGGAATACAAATCCGACTCCACCCTGAGGAATGCAAATCAAGCTTCACCCCTGGGGAAAATGTAGCTCCACCTCCGGGGAAATACAAATCTTGCTCACCCACTAGGGGAATAATAATCCCACTCCACCTTGAGGATTGAAAATCCGGCTCCACCTCCTGGGAAATACAAATCCGGCTCCACCTCCTGGGAAATACAAATCCCGCTCCACCTCCTGGGAAATACAAATCCCATCGGATGAGGAATACAAAATCTGGCTCCACCCCCTGGGGGGAATACAAAATCCGGCTCCACCGCCCTGGGGAAATACAAATCTTGCTCCACCCCCGGGGAAATACAAATCTTGCTCCACCCACAGGGGGGGGAATACAAAACCGGCCCCACCCACGGGGGGAATCCAAATCCGACTCCACCATGAGGAATCCAAATCCGGCTCCACTCTGAGGAATCCAAATGTCTCCACCCCCTGGGAAATACAAATGTAGCTCCACCCCTGGGAAATACAAATCCCGCTCCACCCACTAGGGGAATACAAATCAGGCTCCACCCACTGGGAAATACAAATGTAGCTCCACCCCCTAGGGGAATACAAATCCGGTTCCATTCCCAGGAAATACCCCCCCAGGGTATGCAAATCCTGCTCCATTCCCGGGGAATACAAAATCCTTCTCCACCCCCCGCCCCCCAAAGTATACAAATCCAACTCCACACCCTCCCAGGGAATACAAATCACGCTCCACTCCCAGGGGAATACAAAATCCTTCTCCACCCCCCCAGGGGAATACAAAGAGAGTATACAAATTTGGTTCCACCCCCCAGGGGAATACAAAATATGGCTCCACCCCCCCCAGGGGAATACAAAATATGGCTCCACCCCATCCCCCCCCCCCCCCCAGGGAATACAAAATCTGGCTCCACCCCCCAGGGAACACAAAATCTGGCTCCACCCCCCCGGGTATACAAATCCGGCTCCCCCCCCCCCCCCCCCAGGGTATACAAATCTGGCTCCACACCCCCCGGGTATACCAGTCCCGGTCCCCCTGCACGGTGTGACCCCGGATTGTGTTGGATTATAATTGGTTTCTCCCGTTGCAGAGAAGGACACGATGGACGTTTGGTGTAATGGACAGAAACTGGAGACCGCGGTAGGTGGCCACAGATCACATGACGCTTATTGATTGTTATTGATTCGGTCACTAAGATGAAGCCGATCAGATGTTATAAATGACCCAGGGGAGTCCTGCCCCTTGTGCTGCCGGGGTCCCGCCCCTTGTGCTGCCAGAGTCCCGCCCCTTGTGCTGCCTTCATGTCCCCCTGGAAGGATTAGATGGCTTCACTCTTCATCCTCACACTCATCCTTGGGTCAGTATGGAGCCTCAGGGATCCCAGGCCCTCTACTGCCCACTGATGTGGTGTCAGTTGACATTCAAAGTGGTTGTAAACCTTCCATAACCCCAGTGAGGTGATCGGCCCCAGATACAGAGATGAAACTAATCCGCCTACATAAGTTGTACCTGTTTATCTGCAGTCTTCTCTCTACAGCCGTTCAAAGTGCAGACTTTATATAGCTTGTCTGAGAGTTCAGAAATCAGGGGGCAAGGAACTAAAGTTACAATCTGCAGAGCTCAGTGAGAGCTGACTGGAGGGAAGGGGTGTGTCCTCATCGGTGGCAGCTCCAGCATGGACACCATTTCTGACTTTCACATTCAGCTTTACAGCCCCCGGATTACTTCTGATGGCGCCCCCCCCCCCCCCCCCCCTCCCTCCAATGTGCCTCAGCTCCCCTGTCCCTGCTGGGTGTCATGAGGGGGAGTGGCTAATATCCTGATCTCGGTGTGAAGAACGAACCTGGAAGCGCTCATCTCTGATCACTTCTGGGTTCACAGCCGTCCGTATCGGCCACAAGGACTGTGAAAGGATCTGATTGGGCCGTGTGCACCCAGGAGAATGCACTATGATATCCTATAGGGGGGCTTGTCTGCTGGTATAGATATGATGCTGAGAAGTTTAACCCCTCCAAGTCCAGACACTCCCTCCTCCCCCCCCCCCCCCCCCCCTTTCCTGCCCAGGCCAATTTTCAGCTTTCAGCGCTGTCACACTTTAAATGACAATTCTGTGGTCATGCAACACTGTACCCCCCATACAGGGGGGGCAGGAGGGCACGGGGGGGTCAGGAGGGCAGAGTAGGGGGGGGGGAGCAGTTAGCAGAGCAAAGTACAGGGGGAGTCAGGAGGACACAGTACGGGGGGGGGCACAGTATGGGGGTGGGAGTCAGGAGGGCACAGTACAGAGGGGGGGGTGGAGTTAGGAGGGGCACAGTATGGGGGAGGGTTAAGAGGGGCACAGTATGGGGGAGGGTTAAGTGGGGCACAGTACAGGGGAGGGGTGGGAGTCAGGAGGGGCACAGTACGGGGGAGGGGTGGAGTTAGGAGGGGCTCAGTACAGGGAGGGGGGGTCAGGAGGGGCACAGTACAGGGGGGGTCAGGAGGGGCACATTACGGGGGGGGGGGGGTGGAGTGGAGTTAGGAGGGGCACATTACGGGGGGGTGGAGTTAGGAGGGGCACATTACGGGGGGGTGGAGTTAGGAGGGGCACATTACGGGGGGGTGGAGTTAGGAGGGGCACATTACGGGGGGGGTGGAGTTAGGAGGGGCACATTACGGGGGGGGTGGAGTTAGGAGGGGCACATTATGGGGGGGTGGAGTTGGGAGGGGCATATTACGGGGGGGGTGTAGTTAGGAGGGGCACATTACGGGGGGGGGAGTAGAGTTAGGTAACGGCACATTACGGGGGGGTGGAGTTAGGAGGGGCACATTACGGGGGGGGGGGGGGGGGGGGGAGTAGAGTTAGGTAACGGCACAGTACGGGGGGGTCAGGAGTGCACTGTTAAATTCTTAGCACGTTATTTTACCGCTCGACTTTTTCCGTCGTGATTTCGCTCAGTCCGGGTCACATCGCTGTGATTTAGAATCGCACAATTTGTGTGATTTCAGCGCAATTTCTGAAGACTTTATTGTGATTTGTGAAGATTTTCAGCAATTTATTGCTATTTTCTGTGTGATTTCCACTCAAATCTCAATAAACTGCAGAAACTGTAACTACTTTAGAAATCGCTCCGCAGCAAATCGCACATTAAGGCGCTGACCGTCACAGTCATTGGATGCGATTTCAGGTGTGACTACAATTCACAAATCACAGCGGTATGAGCGGGCTGTCAGTGAATTCACCCCATAGGCCCCCCCCCCCCCCCCCCCCCCCCCCCCCCCCCCCCCCCCCCCGGGTGTACCCAGATTTCCGGACTACCTGTAAGAAGCAGAACACGCAGCAATGGGATAGGCGCTGTTATTGGCAGTTCTCATTTTCTTGTATGGATGAAACTTTATTGATATGAACATTGTGTACAGATTACAAAGTCCCATTTTATTTGTAGAACGTCCCCAACGTTGTGTCTCCTGTCCCCAGGGGGAGTTTGTGGAGGACGGTACGGAGACGCACTTCAGCATCGGCAATCACGATTGCTGCATCAAGGCGGTGAGCAGCGGCAAGCGGCGGGAGGGGATCATCCATACGCTGATCGTGGACGATTGTGAGATTCCGGAGAGCGTGGAGTAACTGTGTCACACGGACCTCCAGATTCGGATCAGGGACAGATAGTCGTCATGTTTAACCCTTTCCCTGCAAGTCATGGACTGTAGTGCCCCCTGGAGGGTGTAGCTGGTTAGTGCCGCTCCTCTATAGGGGTGTGTGAACCCTGTGATGGGGGGGGCAGACCAATCACAGAGCTGGACAGAGGTCACATGGAATGATCCACCTGCCGGCCCACTTCCAGGCCTGTTTATAAAGATCACACCTCCGGTTCGTGTTTTCCTCCAGATATTGTAAATTGCTGTTTATTTTAGAAGCTGCTTCTGACTATTTTCTTTTGTTTCAGCAAATATACAAAAATAAGGCAGAAAAATCCATTTTACAGGAAATTTCTCAATTTTATGAACATTATTCTGCTTTTTTCAGGTTGTTTTCCTATCACTGTAAGGTGGAACTCCAAGCAAGGCCAAACTGACGCCCTCTGCAGGCTGACCGCATTAATACGGCTGTTTCTGGTTTTACCTGTCACATGATGTTACCTGTGGATCCTGCCAGTAAATCCTTTTATTAGTCTACTTCCTGTAACATTGACAACACTGTTTGTTCTGTTCCCAAATCACAGAGCAGTGTTGTCACCTTCTGGACAGGGGACTCGTAGATGGACAGGTAGACTTATGTGAGAGACAACTCCAGGTAATCTACAAAAAAAACCTTTTTTTTTTCCTTTTGAAAGAAAGTAAAACATATGACTAAAAGCTGACCAATGTAACCCCCTTCCCTCCCCCTTTCTTTTTTTCTCTCCCTCCCCTTTTCTCCCCCCCCCCCCCCCTCTTCCCCGGCAGTGTGTATGGTTTGTCCCAACCCATGTAAATGCCAACAACTGTGTTGGACAGCTTGGCCTTTTCCTGGAAGTGGTCTACTGGCAGGATCACCAAGTGATAGAACTGCTATGGGGGAGGAGCCGATCCTGCTGATTCTCCTCCCTCTGGCCGAGTCTTCAGTCCTGCTCAGTAGTACAGTTGCTTACTCTGATTTCACTGCACACTGTGAGCCCCCCCCCGGGGACGGTAAAATATTGGCGGGTTAAAATTCAGCCTTAATGCCACCAACAGACTTCATCATGTGACTTTTTTTCCCCCAGAGTTCCACTTTAAACCACATCCAATCCTTTATTTCTCATGTATGGAGGTGGAGAGGAGACTTTCTTCGAGGCAGCTTCTTCTTTTTCTCATCAGACTTGTAATGATCAGTGCTGGAAGTTGGGGGAGGGGCTTTTATCTCCCCGATCTTTATAAATCGGCCCAATTGTATGGTAGGTAGAGGGTGCCGGGACTCTGCCATATAGAGGGGAGATGTGGTGTAGATTTGACATCTCAGGATTAGAATGAAAATATATCTACAGCAAAGTGTCACATGCTCTGTATACTGTGATCATGGCTTCCTATTATATCGGAGGAGGACGGGGCCGTGTGGTAGGTGGGCGTACATATCGGAGGAGGACGGGGCGGTGTGGTAGGTGGGCGTACATATTGGAGGAGGACGGGGCCGTGTGGTAGGTGGGCGTACATATCGGAGGAGGACGGGGCCGTGTGGTAGGTGGGCGTATATATCGGAGGAGGACGGGCCGCTGTGGTAGATGGTCATACATATTGGAGGAGGACAGGCCGGTGTGGTAGGTGGGCACACGTGTCGGAGTAGGAGAGGATGGTGTGGTTTGGTACATGTATCGGAGGAGGATGGGCCAGTGTGGTGGGTAGGTGCACATTTCAGGAGGAAGGGCCAGTGTGGTGGTTTGGCACATGTATCAGTGGAGGATGGGCCGGTATGGTAGATAGGCGTACATATCGGAGGAGGACGGGGCAGTGTGGTAGGTGGGCATACATATCGGAGGAGGACAGGCCGGCGTGGCGGTTTGGTACATGATTCGGAGGAGGACGGGCCGGCGTGGTGGGCTGGTACATGTATCGGAGGAGGACGGGCCGGCGTGGTGGGCTGGTACATGTATCGGAGGAGGACTGGCTGGCGTGGTGGGCTGGTACGTGTATCGGAGGAGGACGGGCCGGTGTGGTTGGTTGGTGCGTGTATCGGAGGAGGACGGGGCGGTGTGGTGTGGTGGTTTGGTACATGTATCGGAGGAGGACGGGCCGGTGTGGTTGGTTGGTGCGTGTATCGGAGGAGGACGGGGCCGTGTGGTAGGTGGGCGTACATATCGGAGGAGGACGGGGCGGTGTGGTAGGTGGGCGTACATATTGGAGGAGGACGGGGCCGTGTGGTAGGTGGGCGTACATATCGGAGGAGGACGGGGCCGTGTGGTAGATGGTCAGACATATCGGAGGAGGACGGGGCCGTGTGGTAGGTGGGCGTATATATCGGAGGAGGACGGGCCGCTGTGGTAGATGGTCATACATATTGGAGGAGGACAGGCCGGTGTGGTAGGTGGGCACACGTGTCGGAGTAGGAGAGGATGGTGTGGTTTGGTACATGTATCGGAGGAGGATGGGCCAGTGTGGTGGGTAGGTGCACATTTCAGGAGGAAGGGCCAGTGTGGTGGTTTGGCACATGTATCAGTGGAGGATGGGCCGGTATGGTAGATAGGCGTACATATCGGAGGAGGACGGGGCAGTGTGGTAGGTGGGCATACATATCGGAGGAGGACAGGCCGGCGTGGCGGTTTGGTACATGATTCGGAGGAGGACGGGCCGGCGTGGTGGGCTGGTACATGTATCGGAGGAGGACGGGCCGGCGTGGTGGGCTGGTACATGTATCGGAGGAGGACTGGCTGGCGTGGTGGGCTGGTACGTGTATCGGAGGAGGACGGGCCGGTGTGGTTGGTTGGTGCGTGTATCGGAGGAGGACGGGGCGGTGTGGTGTGGTGGTTTGGTACATGTATCGGAGGAGGACGGGCCGGTGTGGTTGGTTGGTGCGTGTATCGGAGGAGGACGGGGCGGTGTGTGGTAGGTTGGTACGCGTATCGGAGGAGGACGGGGCGGGGTGGTGGGCTGGCACATATATCGGAGGAGGACGGGCCGGGGTGGTGGGCTGGTACATGTATCGGAGGAGGACTGGCTGGCGTGGTGGGCTGGTACATGTATCGGAGGAGGACGGGCCGGGGTGGTGGGCTGGTACATGTATCGGAGGAGGACTGGCTGGCGTGGTGGGCTGGTACATGTATCGGAGGAGGACGGGCCGGGGGTGGTGGGCTGGTACATGTATCGGAGGAGGACTGGCTGGCGTGGTGGGCTGGTACATGTATCGGAGGAGGACGGGCCGGGGTGGTGGGCTGGTACATGTATCGGAGGAGGACGGGCCGGCGTGGCGGTTTGGTACATGTATCGGAGGAGGACTGGCTGGCGTGGTGGGCTGGTACATGTATCGGTGGAGGACGGGCCGGGGTGGTGGGCTGGTACATGTATCGGAGGAGGACTGGCTGGCGTGGTGGGCTGGTACATGTATCGGAGGAGGACGGGCCGGGGTGGTGGGCTGGTACATGTATCGGAGGAGGACTGGCTGGCGTGGTGGGCTGGTACATGTATCGGAGGAGGACGGGCCGGCGTGGCGGTTTGGTACATGTATCGGAGGAGGACTGGCTGGCGTGGCGGGCTGGTACATGATTCGGAGGAGGACTGGCTGGCGTGGCGGGCTGGTACATGTATTGGTGGAGGACGGGACGGGGGGTGGCGGTTTGGTACATGTATCGGAGGAGGACTGGCTGGCGTGGCGGGCTGGTACATGTATCGGAGGAGGACGGGCCGGGGGTGGCGGTTTGGTACATGATTCGGAGGAGGACTGGCTGGCGTGGCGGGCTGGTACATGTATTGGTGGAGGACGGGCCGGGGTGGTGGGCTGGTACATGTATCGGAGGAGGACGGGCCGGAGTGGCGGTTTGGTACATGTATCGGAGGAGGACGAGCCGGGGTGGTGGGCTGGTACATGTATCGGAGGAGGACTGGCTGGCGTGGCGGGCTGGTACATGTATCGGAGGAGGACTGGCTGGCGTGGTGGGCTGGTACATGTATCGGTGGAGGACGGGCCGGGGTGGCGGTTTGGTACATGTATCGGAGGAGGACTGGCTGGCGTGGTGGGCTGGTACATGTATCGGAGGAGGACGGGCCGGGGTGGTGGGCTGGCACATGTATCGGAGGAGGACGGGCCGGGGTGGTGGGCTGGTACATGTATCGGAGGAGGACGGGCCGGGGTGGTGGGCTGGCACATGTATCGGAGGAGGACGGGCCGGGGTGGTGGGCTGGCACATGTATCGGAGGAGGACGGGCTGGCACATGTATCGGAGGAGGACGGGCCGGGGTGGCGGTTTGGTACATGTATCGGAGGAGGACTGGCTGGCGTGGTGGGCTGGTACATGTATCGGAGGAGGACTGGCTGGCGTGGTGGGCTGGTACGCGTATCGGAGGAGGACGGGCCGGGGGTGGTGGGTTGGTACGCGTATCGGAGGAGGACGGGGCCGGTGTGGAGATCAGTATACAGAAATAATACCACAGCCGGCACACTCTGTCATCTTTCCCTCTCGATGTGGCAGAACCCTGAATTCCTATTGTGTTCCTCTCTCTGAAGCTCCTCATTGGACCCCTGGCGGGTCACACGTCCTGGCCTATCAGCGATCGCTGTGTCTTCATGTAGTGCACCAGAGCCATAGAGCACAGGATCCAGGTGCCGGGAGGTGTTCTATAGATTCCATGTATACAATGTTATATATGTTCTATGATGTAAATATTACAGATTTTTGTTTTAGGAAATTTTTTTTTACTTTAAATCTTCCTGTAATTTCCCTCATTGGTGTTGCTGCTCACAATAAAATTAAACTTTTTGTTTTAGTTTGTTTTTATTCTCCAAAACTTCGTTTTCCAGAAGTGACAAAGCAAGATCACATGGTGGGGTGTCTCTACCATTCCCAGCCACCAAGATGGATCTATTGGGCCTCATTTGGTGAGCGGGTATAACAGGAGTCAGAGGCCAGTGGCAGATCAGCTGAGGTGGAGGATTGTACACTATGGGACACGGTCAGTGCATCC